GGAAAGGTGTCAACCAGGCAGAGTCAGTGCCATTCAGAGTATAAACCAAATCCCCCCCAAAAAGGGATATAGCAACCATATGAGGAGGACATGTTGCTTGATTTGAAGAAAAAAGCCATACACTGTTATTCACTAGTACAGAACTTTAATCCATAGAGCTTACAACTTTCAGCATGACGGGACTTGCCACCCACCTCTAACGTGTTTCACCTAAATGGACTTAGTCGGCTTAGGCTCTACGACTAAGCCCATACAGGTGAAACACGTTAAAGGTGGGCAGCCACTGGGTGGCGAGTCCTGTCATGATGGAAGTTGCAAGTTCTATGGATTGAAGCTTTGTACTGGTGAATAGCAGTGTGCAGCTTTTTTCTTCAAATCTTGCATTTGTGGAGCGTGGATGGCTCCTGGCAAGCACCCGCCTACATGTGTCCTAAACCGGTGCTGGATGGAGCGATGAAACCCTTTTTTTGTCTATATACAAGGAAATGTTGCTTAAGGCCAGGTTCACACCATTTTCTGCACCAGATCAGGAATGCAGTGCATTGCGTTTTGCCACAATGTTGCCGCGTTCCAGAGCAGGTTTTTTTTTTGTTTTGCTTTTCTTTTTTGTGTGCTTAAAATGGCTTTCAGGTGCGTTGCAGTGCGTTTGTATCCGTTTTTGATGCGTTTCCATGCATTCTAGACCAAACAAAATGAGACATGCATGGCCCATTCACACCATATCCAGATCATCTCCAGACCAGATTGTTTCCGGACCCAAAATGCATCCTAATGTATCCCTATGCTATTTATGGCCTCTGTTCACACCAGCGCAGTCCATTCCAGACCACACCAGAAAAAATACTGCAGGTCTCATTTTGTCTGGTATGCACTGGAACGCATGGAAATGCCTAAAAATGCATACAAATGCACTGGAACACACCTAAAAGCCAATTTTAAGCTAAAAGAAAAAACTCTGGAACACCGCAAAATAGCAGTAAAAACACATCAAAACGCAATGCACTGTGTTACAGATCTAGTCCGGAAAATGGTGTGAACCTGCCCACAGTATTTTTCTGGGCTGGGCTGGAACCGACTGCGCTGGTGTGAACAGAGGCCAGAAATGGCATAGGAATACTTTGGGATGCATTTTGGGTCCGGAAACAATCTGGTCTGGTCTGGTCTGGAGATGATGTGGTGTGAATGGGCCCTCCTACACAATATGAATGCCATGGTGAAAATGCCTCCTCAGGCAGGCCGCATCCTCTAATGTAGATCACACTGCTTTGCCAAAAATATACATTTTATAAACATCAAGCTATAATTCCAACAGCTTTAAAACACTAACCAAAACGAATCCTTTTTAATTTTTGTGAGAGGGCGAGTGTTTCTAGTAAACACACCAAAACATTGTGAGGGGAATTGATCAAAAGTGGAGCGGACAAAATCTGGAGCAGCTGTGCATGGCAACCAATCAGCTTCTCTCTTTAAAATTACATCAATTCTCACCTTGTGAATGTATACTGAATTCCCTTCCTACAGTATAAATGAATGCCTCACTTGAAGATCCACTTTATTCCTCTTGCCCACTTCCTGTCCCTGGTTCAGTAATAAAAGATCTTTGGTATTCTGGAGATAACATAGAAGAACCTTTCCTATCTGAATTGTTTTTGGCAAAAGTGTTATTTCCAGATAGAATTCACCGGGGAGTAAATTTGACACTGACCTGGTTTTCCATTAGACCAGAGGAAACAGAATGGAATAATAACCTTGTGATGAAAGTGAACCTAAAGAGAAAGACTATGGAAATATTTCCACGTGATCTCTATATTTAAACATGGCAAGGAGGTTGTTTGATGGTAGAAGAATTACATTTACTCCCTTATACAAAATGCATGGACTTCCATTTCCAGGCACACAGGACTATACACTGCCTTCGCTATTTCACTTTAATTTTCTTTGAAATGTACAATTCCCATAGTTATTAACAAGGTGTGCAATGCATTATTCTCACATGAAGTAGTTGTCTAACACTGAAAGCCTTTATGTCTCATGAATCAATTTTGTATCACCACCTCGGATTTATACTCTTATCAGTAGATACCCCACTGACAATCAGTTCTATCAGCCTATAGATAGCAGTATTTGAGGAGCTATAACTAATGCTGTCATTTCTGCAAATTGAATTTTACACCCAAAATATTGCAAAAAGCCAAGAAATGTGTACAAGAAACTTAACTCATCTGTGAATTAAAAGAAAACTAAGACAAACCTTTTTTTGGCCATTGTTCTCATTTACATTTACTAATGCACTCCTGTGACCCAGACTCAGCACATAGGGCCTGCTTGGCAGCTGACTCTGCCTCTCTAGAGTCAGAGTCAGCTGTGCCCACCCCTCCCCTGCCTATCCCTCTAATGTGTGCTGGAGGAATAGAGAGAGGGGAGGAGGGAATCCCTGCGGGGAGCGGTGACTGTCAGTCATCGCTCTCTGGACCGTCAGCGTTTTGTGATCACTCGGTTCTCAAGCTATAGAGCTGATGTGTGACATTATGATCTAACCATCCTTCTGGTGTTGAGCAGTGAACATCTCCTTCACTCCCTCCGAACACTCAGATATGCAGAATGCTCACCCATTTATTTGTTTCTTAAAGCCATTTGGACTGGAAAGGCAGCGTTAGCTTTGTGACTCAAGTTGCAAGTGTTGGTACTTGCACATCATCGATTGGGGGCCAGAACATTACCCGGGTGTCGCCTATGTAAAATACACAGAATAATAAAGCAATTATAGTGAAGAAAAACTGAAAGGATTACCATTGATAAGTAATTACACCAGAGATTGTTGATCCAGGGAATATTTGAATTCCTTAGGGGGTGTGTTCACACTAGCTGCATGTAAAATAATCCATTTTGACATGCAGGATAGTGAACCCTGGTTACAGGCAGTGCCTTTAGTTCTTACAACAATCTTTTTCCTTTGGTAAGCTAAGTAAAATTGTATTCATTCCTATGCACTGCAGCTCTGCTATGGAAACGGACAGTGACTTCATGTGAGCTCCGACGTGTCTCCATTGTTCCTCGACGCACTGACACGCACCTGAAGGCAGTGGTGCAGTGTGAACAGGACACATAGAAAGTTGTGTTCTCATTTCCCTTACGATGAGTGGCGTTGAGCAAGTGTGGACAAACAGAAGTCACCGCATGTAGTGTGAACGGGCCCTTAGGTGACCAAAGAAGAATTATTTTCCTCTGTTGGGGCAAATTTAACCATGATTCATGAGGGATGTTGTTGCTTTCCTCTGAATCCTCAGTGGTTTTGGGTTCTGTAGATCCAGGTTTTCAATTTATTCATTCATTTTTTTCCATTGAATTCATTCAATAGTGTCTTTCTTTTTTCAACCTATGTAAAAAAGTGTTTCAATGTTTTATTAACCCTTGTAGTGGGGCTAGCCCTGCACTGTACGGGTTAAGTGTTCATTTGTGTCTAGCTTACAAAAAAAATGTTATACTCACCTGAAGCTCTGAGACAAGCTTGCTCTTAAGGTGGCCATACACCTTACAACCATCGCTAGACTTTTGTCTTGCGATGGCTGTAAGCTAATTAAAATCTCGTACGATCTGCCCATCTTGGACAGGCAGATCGTACGTGCGATCATCGAAAGCCGTCCCCGCTGAGGGGCGGGCTTCCGATGACTGCAATGATGAACGGGCAGTGTGCGCTTGCGCACACCGGCCCGTTCGGCATTTGTTTCCCGAGCATGACACAAACCCGCCGACAGTCGTACGATTCTTGGCGGGTTTCCATACATGCTCGTTAGACAAAAGATGTGCGACCGTACAGTAGAAGCGGTCGCACGCCTTCCATACACCTTGCGATTATCGTACGATCGTGGGATTTCTCGCGATTATCGTACGATAATCGCAAGGTGTATGGGCACCTTTAGACGGGTCCTTCCAGTGTGTCTCCCCTTCCGCTGCAGTGGTCCAAGGTCCTGTAAATCATCACATTCTATACACTGTGCATAGACCTGAGGATGCTGAGGAACAGGAGAAAGGCTGGAGGGAATGCGGTCACAGCCGGCTTGGAGCTTCGTGTGAGTGGAACTTTATTTGTGTCCCTAGACACAAATGAGCACTTAAAGGAGAACTATGGGGGTGAGCGAATTACACTCATCCTCATAGTTAGAGACAACACGTGAGATCGAAACTGTCACAGGTCGGCTCTTTTGTTTAGGAAGTGAACAAAAACATACCGCCGTTTGCTTCCCGATCATCTCCCTGCGGAGAGTGGTGACTGTCAGTCTCTGCTTCCTGCAGGGACTCCCTTCCCCTCCCCTCCCCTCCCCTCCCTTCCCCTCCCCTCCCCTCCCTTCCCCTCTCTTCCCTTCCCCTACCCTCCCTTCCCCTCTCCTCTCCTCCTCCTCCTCTCCTCTCTGATCCTCCAGCGCTGACTAGAGGAAAGGATGGGAGAGGGGGCGGGCACAGCTGGCTCTGCCTCTAGATAGGCAGAGTCTGCTGTCAATCAGCCAGCTGGGTGGCTCTTGAGAGTATTATTGGGATCTGTCCCGGCTGCGGTGCTCTCGGCATGCGGCAGGCAATAGCCCGCTATATGGTGAGTTTTGGGTCATGGGAGGATGTTCGTATATGTCCTCCTGCGACCCTAACAAAAACTATGGGAACAAAAGTTACCCCATAGTTCTCCTTTAACCCTTTCAGTGCATGGGGTAGCCCCACTGCATAGGGTTAAAAGATTTTTCTGGAGTTCTTTAAACTTGAGCTATGTATGCAGACTGAGATGTATGGTCTCTGTTATTTTTTATTAAACAATTGTATATTACAACAAAATAAATGGAATGTATGGTTTTCACGTGAAATGTATGTGGAAAAGTCCCGGCCGATAAAGCTGACTGTACACAGCTAACCCAGACATTGACCTTCAATGCAGCTGACACTCAGCGCTGCGTGCAATACCCGCCTTCTCCGGCAGGGGGTCCCCCAGCTCAGGAGCGTGGCTCTCACCATTCATTCTTCCGGGGCACGTCAACCGGAGGCGGGGCTATACGTGCCATGGAAACCGCGAGGTGACCCACCGGATGCCCGAGAGAGCTGCCAGGGTAAGTGTGTTGTCACCTTATTGTGTGCCGGAAACTTTCACTGTAGTAGTGATTTGGAGGAATGTCTGGCCTGTATATTCTATCCGGTGTACTGTGTATTAATCAGCAGAACTTGCCAGGTGTGGACTGAGCTGAGCATTGCCCTGTCTGTGTACTGGTGATGGACATAATACTACACAGAGGGATCAGCCGAGCTCTGTATGTGACAGATGTGTTCTCTGATGAGCAATGCTAATGATTTCTCTGCATGACCGGCTGGCCTGTACTATGGCAGTGTGATCTCCTGGTGTCCAGCAGGTAATTGGTTGGGAACCTGAAAGGACGGAGTTATGTAGGCTGTCATTCAGCTGTACTACAAATGCTAACTGTGTGTCATACTGATCCCCTGGCTTCAGTACTTCATAAGTCACCTGACTGAAGTATTACTGGGGCACAGATTGGGGGAACATTTAGCAGTCCCCTAATACGTGGACATGACTGATTCATTATACATGGGGAAAAGAAAATGAACACTGACATGGGGCAACCAATCAGACGTCATCATTTGTTTTTGTGTTCTCATTACCTTTCCTCTAGTACTATGATGAAGCAGCGGAGCATGTAACCTGGTGACATCTTATCACCATAGATCAGTCTTCATATGTTAGTAGAGTCATGCTGGGTTTCATAATGTATTATTGTTGTGATTGGATGTGTACTGGTCATGTGACCGGTGCCCTCAGACAGATCATATTACCCAACAGACAAGTATGTGGCTCTCCCTGCACCGTGTGTTCGGTAACATGTTTATCATTGTGTGTGCTGATTCCATATCTCAGCTCTTCAATAATGGATTCTGCAATCAGAAGTTCAAACAGTATGTTGACCGTACACTTAAAGTGGAACTCCACCTATAATGAGATATATACTTCCATATGCAGTATATAAATCAGGGGTGGACAAATTCATTTGGAATTCAGGAGCTGGTCTGTCCAATCCAGGAGCAAATAGGATTTTTTTAGGAGCATTGGCTACCCGGCTCCTGGGACGTCCCTAGCATTTTCGCCGCCTAAGGTGGGGGGAAGGTGCAGACAGTGCACGTTCAGGGGTGGTGTGCTGTGCACGTTTGCGGCTTTGCAGCCCACTCTGGCCGGCGTCCCGCCCAGCTCACTGACTTTTTTTGCCGCCTGATGCGGCCAGGGGTATGTCACGCTCTGGTCGGAGTCTTGGAGGCGACAGTGATGTCTGGTTGCCAGGAGCTCGGCGTGAGACCGGCAAAAGAGCCCCAGGTTGTAAGAGCTGGGCAGAGAGATATGTATGGCCCTTACACATTCTCCCTCCCCTCCCCCCGGCTCTAGCAACTTGGGACGCTCTGGCCGGGAAGGGGGCAGCAGGCACACTGCAAACATTGTGCATTAGAGCGGCCATGCCACTCTGCCTAACGCCCCACGTGACCCAAAGAGACGCCTCATTATATGGACGGTCCAAGGCCATGGGGATCCTATCCTATCACTTGGGATCCTACACTATAGTAGCTGCAGCTATGGCACTCAGTTGTAGTAGGACCCAGAAGATCACCGTAAAGTACTGTAGTAGCTGCAGTTACTACAGATTATTACACGGTCCCCATGGCCCTACCTGACATCATTTTTTCTATACTGTATACTTAAATTGTACCAAGCTGGGTCAGTGTAAGTATATATCAATCATTACAGCTGGAGTTCCACATTAAACTTGTCACTGTGATAAAGGCATTTAACCACTTGAAGTCTGCGGTGTTTACACTCCCTTCCTGGCCAGGCCATTTTTCAGTATTCAGCGCGGCAGTACTTTGACATTTATTCCGTCATGCAATGCTGTACTGAAATGAAGGTCCATTGTAGCCATAAAAGCGGTATTGTTATGTAAAAATGAAATGTACTGTAGTTTTCATGATAGCAAAGATGGTCTGATGTTACAATCTTAATGTAAGCTGCTGCCATTTTTATATCATCAACCTAAACTGAGTTGTCCGGGGGGTTAGAATGTGTGACTATATACAAATAATAATAGGATGTGTCTGGCATAGTCTACCAGTAAAGTATAGATTACAGCTGCAGTGCCAGACCTGGTTCATACCTTTCTTTGTCCATATGTCCGGGTTGGCATAGCGTGCTCTCATCATTGTAGTAGCTCCTGACAATATTTCTGATGTCATTTGTAAACTGTACAGCAGGTTTGATGCAAGAATATATATTTATATATTCTTGATGGAAAGGGAAAGTGCGAGGGACACGTTTCCTGTGTTATATATAAGTTGGTTAGTAAATTCAACGTGACCTTTTACTCATAAAATAAGAATAAAAACCCACTTTTTAGTGAAGTTTTATTTAAATGGAGCTGACTCCCATAATTATAAAACAAGAAATCTTATTTCCTGTGTTTTCATTAACCACTTGAAGACCAGGTGTTTAGACCCCCTTCCTGACCAGGCCATTTTTCAGTATTCAGCGCTGCGGTACTTTCACTGACGTTTATTCCGTCATGCAACGCTTTACTGAAAGAAATTTGATACCATTTTTTGGGGACATTTAATCACCACTGGGGGTTTTATTTTTTTACTATATTAAGGAAAAATTATTGAAATTTTTGGGGAAAAAGGTTTTTTCCCCCATTATGTTAGGAAACAATGATTATTACCCATATTTTTGGTAAAATATAAAAGACGGGGTCACGTCGGGTAAATAGACCAACAGCAGAGAGGGGGCCGGAGCTCCCTCTGATCCCCTGTGACGGAGGCCTTATGCTGGTCCTGGGCTCGCACCGGGCACAGCGGAGCCCGGGACCAGCTTGACAGCGGGGGGGGGGGGCGCACATCACGGGACCTCATACAAGCGATCCGCCAGCTCTATACCCGGTGGATCGCTTGTATATTAACGGACATCGCTGCCTGTTTTCAAATAACGGGCATTTCCCGTTATTTGAGGGAGTGTGTCTGAGCGGATGTCTAAAGACGCCCGCTCAGATCTAGAGAGCTCCTGGCCGACCGTTTTTTTTACAATGGCCGGCCAGGAAGTGGTTAAGATGTCCAAAATATTAAATACTTTCCAATACTACTCCCCTGTGATAACAATATGATGGGACTGCCAAATCCAGGCTCCACAGGAAGCGAGTGTTACATCCAGGTAACGAGTCACTCCTTCTTGTTTGCTCTCTGACGTGGGTTTTAGACGGGCCATATTTTCTGCTTTCTGCACCCCAGTTCCTATGTTTTCATGCATAGTTGAGTTGCTTAGCCTTGTTTCCATGTTGGAGGTATGGCTTTTTGACCGCAAGGCCGCAGAAAAATGTCAGCAGGTGCCCTGGACTGATGAGAAAAAATTAGAAATATTTGGCTGGAGCAGGAGGCAGTTTGTTCCCCAAAGGGCTGGAGAGCGGTACAATAATGAGTGTCTGCAGCAACAGTGAAGCATGGTGGAGGTTCCTTGTATGTCTGGGGCTGCATTTCTGCCAATGGAGTTGGAGATTTTGTCAGGATCAATGGTGTCCTCAATGCTGAGAAATACAAGGAGATACTTATCCATCATGCCATACCATCACGGAGGTGTGTGATTGGCCCTAAATGTATTCTGCAGCAGGACAATGACCCCAAACTTCAGCCAATGTCATTAAGAACTATCTTCAGTGTAAAGAAGAACAGGGAGTCCAGGAAGTCATAGTTTGAGCCCTACAGAGCCATGATCTCAGCATCCTCGAGTCTGTCTGGGATGACATGAAGAGACAGAAGGATTGGAGGCAGCGACATCCACAGAAGATCTGTGCTTAGTTCTCCAAGATGTTTGGAACAACCTACCTGCCGAGTTCCTTCAAAAACTGTGTGACAGTGTACCTAGAAGGCAAATGGGGGTCACACCAAATATTGATTGGATTTGGAATTCTCTTCTGTTCATTTACTTTCCATTTTGTTAAATTCTGAAAACATTCTTATTTTACAGCATTTTTTCTCACCTGCCTAGAACGTTTGCACAGTCCTCTGTTTACTGTGTTAGCTGGCAAAAGATTCGTCATGTGGTTGACCGTTAACAAACTTCAGCTACATTGTACAGCTAAGAACAAGGGAAATGCCCGTTATTTGAAAACAGGCAGCGATGCCCGTTAATGCTATGTGCTTCATCACATAGCAAATGTCCTTTCTTGCTTTTGAAGATGATATGCTTCCTATGCCTGTTTGCTGTGGCTGTAACCTAGCCTGGATTCAGTCTCGCTCAGAACTTACTATTCAGTTTTATTTTTATAAACTCCTTAGGAAAGGTTTCCGAGTCCCATGAAATAAGTGCAAGAATACAGGAAATCCACACACGTATACATGGAATAATCCATTCGTCAATAAGATATATTATTGACCTATTCCTATTGACCCCTATTCCTGTAATGTATTCTTCAGATCAGTAAACATTGTAATCCCCAAATATCTTAATTCTGTCATTTGTCAGCCGCCTTTCCAGCCCAGAATGACAAAGAAACCGTTGTGTAAAACTGTCTGACCGACCTGAATAAAGAACAGGGAAGCCAGGAGAGGAAGGGACCTGCACTCACAATACAATGCTCTGGCATAGAGCAGCGACATTAGAAGGGGGGCATGATCACTGGGAGCGTGTGTTCTGATTTTCCAGCAGAGACTAAAGCTGGCCATACACCAGAAGAGTTTCATATGAAATGTTTTCATCCAATTCTCTAGCAGCTAATGGGGGTCAAAGGACTATCATTTTCAACCGTAGTGATGAAAAAAACGGAGCAGGATGGAAGATCTTTCTCGAAATGGATGTGGTTTTTGGTTAAACTCCATTCATTAAAACTCCATCCACACTTAAACTCCAATAAAATCAAACAAACAAAATTTCAGATGACTTGTGTCAAGTCTCTGATGGCAATATTGAATGTTCTGACAAGATTTTTTCATATGAACGTTTATAAGGAAATCTACCAGTATACCGCCAGCTTAAAGGGTATCTATGGTCTATGTCTTTCTCTATTGAGTTTGA